TGTGACAAAAGAGGTGAAAACGCACTTGATATGATGGGTAATAGTAATGAATTTTGGGTTGATGAAGGGGCATTGTCTACAACTATTAATCAAGTTGCTTCTAAGAAATTAAATGGATTTACCTTCCTTAATTACATGAAAGTGTGTTGTCAAGTTCTAAACTTTATCAGAAATTACAAGATCTTTGTTTCACAATTGAACTCAATTTAAGTGAATTGATGAAATGAAACTTAAAGGTTTTTTGTTTTACTAAATAGTTTAATTACGAATATCCTCTTTCTCAATAAAAAATGGTTTGTGTTCGGTGGTGTGGTGGTAGTTGTTCTTTATTTTTTTCTCCATAACTCCACAAGAACCAATCAATGCGATATCCTTCAATAAATGAATTTTTGGTTTCAAGGAATATAGCTTGAATCATTTTTATAGCTGATAATACAGTACACCTTATTTCTATTTCTTCTTCAGACCCAGATGGAATTTCCTTTTTATCAAGAATCTTTTGTTTTAATTGATCTTCTATGTCAAGAACATCCCATCCAAGTAATACTTGAGGAATACGGTAATCAGCAAATCCAGTTAATTGTTCCAACCCTTTAATACATCCACACATTCCTTGTATGTCACTAACTACAATTTGAGCTCGTTTATAAAAGAATACTTGTCTTCCTTTATAAATGGTTGAATCTCTAAACCCAGGAAATTCTTTTGCAATAAGAGAAACTAAAGTTGTTGCATCGTATTTTGATTCTTCTAATAAATTTAATACCTTTTGGTCAAACCTATTACACAAAACTTCACCTACTTCTCTCATCAATCGAGTTCGTTCTTCAATATTTGAAATAACACGGTTGTTATAAACTAAGTACTGAGAGAGTAAACAACTAGATACATGTTTCATTTGGTTAGGCTCAAAAACTTCAGGGTGATCATGTTCAAGACGTGATAACCCTTTTGTTAAATCATCATATTCAAACCCTTCGGTTGGCCAAAAACAAAAGTTTAATGCATCTACAACTAAAATATATCTTAGCCGTGATTCAATGTCATTAGGTGCTTGGTGAATACTCTCATCAAAGGTTTCAGCTTCAATCTTTTCTAGTAATGGAATTATCTTTTCTTTTAATTTTATTTGATTCACTCTGACATGTTTTGCATTTTGCTCTATATAGTCAACACTCCAACGAACATATTCACACATACTAATTTACTTGAAAGATACTTTTAAGTTTTTTGTTTATTTCTTTTCATTTTTTTAATTTTTAGTAAGATTTTTTACGATACAAACCATACAATTGTTATTGCAATGATTATTGAGTAATATCATTATGTATTGTAAAGAAAAACAAACAAGTCATAGAAATTCACCGTTATACAAGAGAATGAATGTCAATAATAAAAGGCATAACAATATTCACGATAAGAAAAATCTAAAGAAAAATAAATAAGAAACTGGTAAATACAATGATGATAAAGATTATATACAAAACAAATATAAATGTATAACAATAGATGATAAAGAAAAAGAATATGAAAAACATGAAGTAAATAGGGGAAAGAAGAATATAAAAAAAGTTAAAAAGATGAAGGAAAAAGAAATAATATGATATGATATTCTTCAAGAAATATATTCAATCAAAAAGATAATTGAAAGAGTGAAAAAAGAAATAAAGGAAGAATAAAAAGAAAGAAGAATATATTAAAAAGTTAAGAAGAAATAAAAATAAAGAATGAAATGAACTAAAGAAATAAAGCTGTAAGAATAATAATATAACACGTAAAACACAAGGAAAACATAAAATAAACAACAAAGAAAAGAAAAGGAAAGAATTAAAGAAAAATACAATACTTCCAAACAAATAAGGAAAATAGAGAAGACACAACACTATAAAATGAAAATAATACAAAAAGACATGCAAAATGAAATAAAATGAATAAGATTTGAAGAAATTTAAAATAAAAGAATAGAAAGAATAAAGTAGATAAAATATATGATGAAAATGAATAAAGAAATTGAATAAAAAATGAAAGAGTCCGAGGCAGTAGAAATAAAATTATGTTTGATTCTAATAAGAAAAATAGAATAAGGAAGAAACAAATAATGAAATATACCCAAATAACGATATTACTTTAGAAAATTGGAAATATTATATGAAACACAGATGAGATTAAATAAAGTTAAAATGGAAAATAAAACAAATTACGTTTTTGAATGAAAAATACAGAAATTATGACAATGTCATTATAACAATAAATGAATTAAATATAAGTCTAATGAAAATAAATAATTAGAAATATTCAATAACATATAAAAGTAATAAAAGAAAAGACAAAGATAAATATAAATAATTGATAAGAAGAATAAAACTAGTGTAATAAATGATATGAGTAAAGATGTATATCACAATAACAACGGAGATAAAAGAAGAAAAGAAATGGTTATAAAGAAAAAAGGTCAATTATTAGATATATACACTATTGGATTTTCTTCATATGGAGAAGTTATTATATCAGTTTCTTCAATATGTTCGATTGGTATCATAGAGAAAAGAAATTTTTATAAAGAATAAAATAAAGAAAATAGAGAGATTAAAATAAATGTAAAAATAATTTGAATAATAATTTGAAACGAATGAATAATAAATACCTTAAGTAATAGACTAATTAAAGAAATAAAAATGAAATTGATAATATTAAAGAAGTTAAAAATAATGTCATTAGAAATATGAGAAATGTTATTAAACATTGTTTTTTTTTACTACAACCAAGTATACTCATTAGAGTTGATGGAAGAAGGCATATAACTTTGGTTAGGCCCATATGAGTCAGAAATAATAAAAACAAATTCTATTAACACTTAATTAATTTGTATTGTTGGTTTAATGAAAAACAAATGTATTTGATTAGCATTAATTATTTAATTACTTCAAATACAAGCTCTATATTTTATTGTGTTATCTTTATGAATATTTTTCCAATGTACTATAGTTAACATAACATGAGAAAATCGATAATAAATTTGATTATGAAAAAAAAAACACTTAACAATTTTGTTGATATGTGTAAAATTGTATAATAACGCTTTAAACAATTCAACTCAATAATATATGTATATTAAATTATTATGTCAGCTATCATTAATTAGTATATATATGATGTTATACATGAATTTTAAATGAATAGAATCAATATTCAGTTGAATTGTTAATGGAATTGAACATACACCAAATTTAACTTATTTCTCTTATTCAAATGATAGTAAGTCTTACATGTTTCTGTCTCACAGTTGATTGTTGTTTTAAATAAGTTATAGACCATTTTTTGAAATTAAATATGGTTCAATACTTAATTATACTAGTGATGTTATTAAATGATATTAATGTTCATTAAGAATAATAATTTTATTTTCCCCAGAACCAAAGTATGAGTTGATGTATCTAATGGTCATGTATTAAATAACAATATCATAAAATACATTTAACAATTTTAATGTTATTTATTTGGTTGTAATTCAGAATCGCACCATAAATATTAACATAGTCATAAGACTTGAATTATCAGTTATTATCTGGCTATGGTGTTAGTGTTTGATAGAAAATTTCTTATTCAATACTTCAAGAATATTATTGGACATTTATTATAATAGAAGAACGTGTATTTGTAAAGATAATAGTATTTTTACTTGTTCTGATGCAAGTATATGTGTTAATATAGATACTATCAAATAAAATATATGGATATACATTTTGATGATGAATGAAATTAGACATAATAAACATAGTATTAATGGTATATTCATCATAAAATAAGAAAGTAAAGAATGAGAAGTTTTAATATACATGAAATTCAAATAAAGAAGAAACAGTTACTTAAATGAAGAATATTTAAGTTAGGTGTTTGAAAAGATTTTGACTTAATGTAAATAAAAGAATGAAAAATAGAAATTTACATGTCTTAACAACAAAGAGATAAAGAAGAAGTGAATAGTGGATGAGTAAAAAGTCTTAAACTCAAGTGAAGGGGTTAGTTCTCCACCAGAGCAGAGGAAGTAATAGAAAAGTAAATTTAGATAACACTTAATTAACTACTTTTTATTTTAATTAATTTTAATTAGATTAAAACAAATATTTGACAGTACTACAACCAAAAATTATCTGTTGATAAAAATTAAATAACATTCCAAATATGATAGACATTAATTAATATTCCATTGATGAGATGACATATAGTTATTTAAACATACATTATTCTTATAAATAGAAAAGAATGGAAAAAAATACAAAATTAAAACAAAAGAAATCAGAAAATCAAGCAGAAATTGGTAACACAATAAGTGGTTAATGAAAGGATAAAAACTAATGAAAAAATGAAATGAATAATGAAACTAATGAAATCCAAGAAGACAAAACAATGAAAATAAAGAAAAGATAATAATTTATAATAATCATAAAGAATATTTTATTGAAGTACAACTTGTAAGAAATAACTCTAAAGAAATATTTTATAAAATTAATTTTAACTATAAAACTAGTAAATTGAATAATTTATTAATAATATTTAAACTAATGCAACTCACTTATTCTTTTTTCTTACCAATTAATAAAATTTTTTTTAATTTATAATATTAAACTATAATAATATTATGAAATATTACCAATTTTAACCATATTTCATTTTGGGATTTTTCTTCATTTTTTGATTGTTTCTAACTTTGAAATATTCAAGTCAACTCAATTCAACTGAAATTCTCTCATTCGTTTTAACTCAAGCATAATAATTAGAACAATAAAATATCTTCAAGTAATTGAAAACTTTTCTCATCAATACTTTTTGTGAGTAATACTAGGAAATCTGTGTGAGACAAAGGAACAAACGTTAATAGATGAAAAGAATAAAGTGTATTAATTTCAACTCAAATAAAAGGGGTTGAGTGGAGCATAAAGACTAGTTTTTGATGACATATAATATATTTAAACGAAGTTCTGAAAAAGATAAATTATTCAATGTTCGCATTTTTATTATTTATTGCATTCACTACTGCAACCAACGTTATTCCTGATATCGAACAAGAATTAAAAGACGTTGGCCTTTACGATTTGTTTTCAAAGAAAGAGTCTATTCATGAAAATGACATAGAAAATGAAGAAGATAAAAAAAGTAGTTCAAACAGTGAATTAGATGAAAATTCTAATAACCAACCAGATGAAAGCTCAAATAATAAACCAGATGAAAGCTCAAATAATAAACCAAATGAAAGTTCTGATAATAAACCAAATGAAAGTTCTGATAATAAACCAAATGAAAGTTCTGATAATAAACCAAGTGAAAGTTCAAACAATAAACCAAATGAAAGCTCAAATAATAAACCAGATGAAAGCTCAAATAATAAACCAGATGAAAGCTCAAACAATAAACCAAATGAAAGTTCTGATAATAAACCAAATGAAAGCTCAAATAATAAACCAGGAAGTAGTTCAGATAATTATGATAATCTTGATGCTGCATCAAGTCCATTCATTGTTCTCTTTGCTATTATTGTGGTTATCTTATTCTAAATTAATTAATTTGAATTTAGTCTCTTTTTTATTAATACTATTTATAAATATTTTAAGACGGCAAAGAAAAAAAGCAAATAATTGAAAAAGAAGAGAATGAATGATATAAAAGAATAAAAAGAAAGTAAAAAGTAGAAGAAGATGAAGAAAGAATAAAAGTAGAAAGGAGAGAATATAAAAAGAAAGAAGATAAAGTGTAATAAAACAAAAGAGATGATAAAAGAAGAAAAGAATGAAAAAATAAAGGATGCAAATTTTATTGAAACAAATAAAAAAAGCGCAAAATTTAATGATGCAAAATTTAATGATGCAAAATATTTAGCAACATTTTTATTGATGCAAAATATTTTGAAATAAAAATAAATCATCATTTGATATTATTATTATATTTGATAATAAATTATATTATATATTAAATACATCATATTTCTTTATTATTTATCTTTCTTTTCTTTTTATTATTTCATATATTACATTATTATTCATTCATTTATTATTTATATTTCATTTATTAAATAAAATGAAAATGAAATTGTAAAATATCAATTAAATATTCATGAATAATAATTTATTAATATTTAATAATTGAAATAACAAATAATAAAGTAACAATAATGATATATTCAATATATTTTTTATTTTATTTGTTCAATATTAGATTATTCTATTTCATTATCATTTCATTGTCTTCATTATTTCATTATATTATTTCATATTCATTTATTATTTTTTAAAATCAAATAAACAATAATATTGATATTCATTCATCATATTAATTTAATATAATAAATATACACAACATTTAATAATAAAGAATGAATATTTAACATTGAAAATATTGAATTATTCAATAATTTATTCAACACAAAATCAATAAAACATATATTTTGATAATATATGAATGAAATAATAAAGAATTATACAATACTCAAGAATTAATAAAAAAGAAATAAAAAGATAATGAATGAAGGAAAATAGTTTTGATAAATAATAGAAGAAAGAAATAGAAACAACAACGAAAAACAAATAATATAAAAAGAATATAAATATATAAAAGAATAAAAAGAAAGTAGAAGAAGAATATAAAAATAATAAATCACAAAGATGTAATAAAAGAGAAGAAAAGAAGAAATAAAAAGTGTAATTTTTAATGTAAAAATTAGAAATATTCAATAAAAGTGTCTAATTTAATGATGTAAAATGATTAACAATATTTTATTAATGAAAAATATTTTACTCTTTTTTATGTTATTATTTATGTTTATAATTTCATCATGATGTTTATTATATAATCAATCATATGTGTTATGTTATTATAACATATAATAAGTGATAAAATATAAATGAAAATGATATGAATATATTATATAGAATATAAAACAAAAGAATAATAAGAATAAATGATAAATAAAACGAGAAATGATAGTCAATGATATAATAATAAAATCAAAGTATAAAAGATAAAATTAATATTAATATAAATAAAAACAGAATAAATATAAATTGAAAATAGATATAAATGATAATAATATAAAAGATGAATAAGATGAATAAACAAATACAACTAAATAGAAAAGAATAACAATAAGAAAATCTAAATAATATAAACATAAAAAATAATAAAACAAGAATAATATAATAATATATAGATAATAAGAATAACACAATGATATAAATAATATAAACAGAGAAATAAATATAAAAATAAATATATAAAAATACGATAGATAAATAACATATAAATAAAAGAATATGAATAATTAAAATAATTAAATACGATTCATCAAATCATCTATTTCATTAATATTTCATACAAAATGACTACAATTGATAATAAAATATAAACATAAATATTTATATATTCTGTATTTATCATACTTTTTATTTTTTATTTTTTTTTAGGAGCAAAAATATAATAAATGGAAAATTCTATGGATGCAAATTTTTTTGCATCTTTTTTCTTTTTTGTAAATTATTTAGATGCCATTTTTTCTTTGCTAATTTTCGTACCCTTA